TAGAATTCTACTGCTGCAAAGTTGCTTCTCCCACTGAGAATAGCTGCTAGAACTTCTTCAGAGCATAATACGCTTGTCAAAGTGCTTGTGGAAAGGAAGATTTTAAAAAATGGCTCTGCATCCTCAGGGTGGAAGTCTTACCTCTTATTAGTACTGTCCTGCTGTGAAATTGAGCAAGTCCTTTTTCTGAAGATCCTCTGTGCTGTTCCTTCTCTTCCCCACCCTCTTATTCAATCTTCTTCCACATTTACAGACCCTTTGGAACCCCCCCTCCCCGAATTTGTATCTCGTAAGAACTCCCTCACCCAACTGTGGTTTCTTAAGCTGATTCTGTTGCTGGGAATATTTCACAACTTTGTCTGAAGAGAAACCTTATGGGTATGAACTCCACCCACAGCACACAGTCAGGATGAGGCCATCATCTGCCCTCTACGTTCCTCCCAGTAAAAGCCATATAAACCATATAAGGGGTGTGTGTGGAGAGAGTAAGTCAGTCTTACAAAGTTTATTGCTAGATGTGGGTGTTTCAGACATTCTGAGGGACACAAAACATTGTGAAGATGTCTTAAACATGGCTTTTATTAACATTAGTTGGGAAAAGTACTACCAGACTATGATTTATTGCAAAAGGCTGACATATTTATGATTGCACCAGTCTTCATGGACCTGAGTCCATTTCATTTAATGCAAGCTTATGGTACATTTGTCAAATGCTCCAACAATCCCAGTTTGTTTGCCAAACATGATATCATAGCTATTATATGGCCATAATAGTAACATGTCACTGTCTCCATAATGTGCCTTGTAAGGCAGAGGTCCCCAACCTTTTGGGCACCAGGGACTGGTTCCGTGGAGAAAGGTTTTTCCATGGACCGGAGAGTGCGTGGTTTTGTGTGCTGCCTGCATCCCACGGATGGCGCTTTGTGTGGACCGGTTGCTGGCATGCCACGGCCTGGTACTGGTCCATGGACCGGGGGTTGGGGACTCCTGTTGTAAGGTATTCCCTGTATATTAAAACTCAGATGATCTGCAGAAGATCTCTTTCGGGGCAACCCTTCTCACAGGGTGGTTTTTATGGGAAAATAGGAGGTGGAAGGAGTATTAAGTATGTCTGCTGCCTTGCGTTATTTATAAAGTAATAAAGGTGGGATAAAAATCCCAAGAAATAAAGACAAATAATATTGTACCTAAACTGTTTTTGCTTGTGTTGTATCTTCAAGTCAGCATTGACTCCTGGGACATTTTTTCCAAGGAGAAAACCACACAACCCAACACTGGGTACGGCAAGCTACTGTATATAAACAGGAAGCAAACCCCACATTCACAAGCACTGATATTACCAACCTAGCCAGGTAATGAAATGTTTGCAAGCAAACAACCAAGCTCAGAGAGCACCAAGGACTCCATAGTTCGACCCTGAGCTACATATATTCTTTTCTATTGGGACAAATAAGGAGTAACCATGAAGAGGATAGCAAGCCCATCTGTCATCCAGCTGTGAAGCCCCTTGGATTGATTACAAGTAATATTGTCAAGAAAACCCCAGTATCAGTGAGGAAACCATGCTATGTATTTCACACATACACGGAGTGGCAGAGGGGGCCTCTGCAGGGGCAAAGCCAAGTCTTGTTTTCTGCTAAGCAGAACCTCTCTGAACAACAGGGGCCACCTATCTGTTTTAAAACACTGAAGCAATTCTTATGCCTTCCTCCTTAGAATGGAAAATAAGTTCTGACTCACCAGTAACCTTAAAGACCAGGGAGCAAAGCATGGAAGAAGTGATGAAAGATAGATGAGCTGATGCTTCCTTTTTCAGATCGGCAACCTTCCCTGAAAGCTGATTGTTGCCTAGAAGGAGTAGGAGACTTTTATGTGGACTATAAGTTAATCCATGGTGTTAGGAAGGCTTAACTAGGCAATGCCTAAAGGAAGCCCTGGGTCTTCCCAAATCCTGAATAAGCGCTCCCTCTCCCATCCTGGTCACCTTGGGGAGATGCTTGCCTTAAAGTCCTTCTTACTTCCAACACTGAAGCTTTCTTTCTGTCTGCTACTTTGTGGCCTGGCCTGTTTTGAGGAGGATGGGCTCAGATAGGACATCTTGAGTTTTTTGAGACCAGAAATGCTATGAATAGTGGCTACTAATCACAATGGCTCTACATTATCCCTTAATGTGAGAGGGTGGAATTCTTTTGACTATCAGTTGCTGGGAAGAAACCACAAGTAAGAAAAGGCTTTTGTGCTGCTTACTTGCCTGTGGGCTTCTGAGAGGCATTCAGCTGGCTGCTTTGGGGACAGGAGACTGGTTAAGAAAGGGCTTTGGACTTTTACTTAGTGAGGACAGCAAAGATACCACATAAATACCAGAAGAGCCACTAGAAATCCAGAAAATATTAGTTTCGAAGACAATCCTTATTGATTTCATAAGAGTTATTTCTACTCTGCGGTCACAACTATTGCCTAAAACAAATATATTGCAATCCAGCTGTTTATAGGATCTGAAATCTTCCAGGTGTGTTAAATTCCCAGAATCTCATGCCATTGGACAAGACTGCCTAACCATACTGGATCCCAGCAGGAGGCCCTCTTGGAAATCAATTGGAATCCCCTTCAAGTAGACACTTGCAGTCAAGACTGAGCCCAGTCTTAACTATTCATTTAAAAGACCCATTCAGTCCAAAAATATTTATTTAAAATAAATATGCCTAGGAATTGCTCTTTAACTAGCATTTTTTTCCTTCAGTTTGATAAAGATTTAACACATTTTAATGAAGTGCAGGGGAAAATATCAAATTAAAATACCACCTTTCATGAATTATATTAAAAATCCATTTATTTTTGTATCTTGTACATATACAAGAAATGCGTCTTACACAGAAATTTTGAAAACAAAAAAGTAAAAACAAATACATATATATTTTCTTACAAAATGTCGGATTTACAAAATGTACATTATGCATTTCTGGCTTGTCTTATGCTCATTTTAAAAATTCCCAAACAAACCAAAATATCAGAACCAGGAAGATCAGATATTACAAATTAATCAATGGAACATTTTTCTTGCTGTTTATTCCCCCAGTACTATACCTGGCATTCTTTTATCCCTTCCTTATTGATTCTACATTTCTTATTAGTGGTAATATTTTGTAAAGGTATCCGTTCATTAAAAAAAGATATCGGTGTGTTCTGGAGAAGGAAGGGGAAATCCAAGAACAGTTCTCCAATTAGTCTTTTGGGTAAAATTAAATAGAACCCCCTTATATGTTTCCAGAAAGCTAGCTTGAGAAATATAGCATTTCAGAAAGGCTTCTGAAATCAATTTATTTCCAACAGTGGACTCTTTGATGAAATGTTATATATAATGATGTAAAACTTTTAACTTCAGACATATTTAATAGGCTGATCGTTCAAGAAAGGAATGCAGGGAATCTTGAAAGAAAACACACAGTTTATGAACAAGAGGCATCAATTCCAGCATTTCCTTAAGCTGAAAAAGCCTCTCCCTATCAGAAAGCAGATTCCACTGAATTCCACAGGAGTTTTTCTACATAAACCTTCCTAAGACTGTGTAGCACTTTCAACAGAGTGATTGTGTGCCACCAGGGGCCTAAATGGGTGGTGAGTCTCGATCCTTGAATCTGAACTGGATGCAGGATAGAATGGGGGTCTTTTCCTGGGTACATCAACATTGGACTTCAGCCTTAATCAAGGCAGCCTTTTGTTGTAGAATTACGGCTCTCTTCCTCAATGCCTTCACCAATGAATAAACTCCCTGAAGTGGTAGCACTTCAAGTCCGTGTAAACATCTGCAAGAAACTGGTTCCCCAATGAAGGCCACAATTAAGAATCTACTGGTTTCAAGGGAATCTAAGAGCATATTGAGGGGAGCACTGAGGTGCCTCCCTGATTATACCAGGACTGCAAAATATCTTCTCCTCCTCCTCCTCAGTTTCTAGGGCCTTCCCTCAGCCCCAGTTACAAATCAAAGGGCGATACAGATGATCAGCCAGGGAAACCAACTGCAACCTTGTGAATATAAAACCTTATATGTTTTAAAAGGCTTGTTTGATTATTGGCTGTTTTGTTAGTTGTTTTGAAAAAGGGAGGGAGAGAGGGAGGGAGAGAGAGGCAACCTCAGCTTTTCTCCAGTTACACAGGAGACTTTCCTGAGAAGCTGTTCCCTTGTGTTCATAAAAGAAAATAAAGAGCTGTATGACTCGCAGCTCTAGCTGAACCTCAACAAATTCTTTGTTAGTTTCCCCATAAAAACCAAACCCCTGCTTATGCTTTGCTGCAGAGAAACCCACTTTTGTTTCTCTTTTGTCTCCTCTAACAAAAGACAAGAGAGTTAAAGCCATTCTATCAAAAATCAACATGTCACTTCTTTTTCAGACCCATTTCTTTCCTCCTCCTCCCCCTTTGCTCCCCCCCTAAAATCTCAGCAAGACTCTTTTGCCAAAGCCCAAGTCAGCCAGGAAGAAAACTTTGAAAACCGGAATGCAGAATTTTCCCTACAGCCTGGCCAAGCCCAGGCACTGCTGATTCAGAAGTTAAGCTCTACTAAGTGTGAGGTAACTTGCTCCCAAGGCAAGTGTGCTTAGCTGGAAACCATTATGCCTTTACTTGGGAGTAAGTCCCATTGAATCCGGTGGAGATTTAACTTCCAAGTAGGCTTGCAGTGGATTGCACTGCTACAATATGGAGGAACCTCCACTAAGACTTATTTGGCAATTTCCTTTTTAAAAAGGAATGAACATGCATGCATGAGCGCGCGTGCACACACACACACACACACACACTTTCTCCCTTCTCAGAGCCTTCCTGGGTAACTTTAGAAAAAACTGTAAACTAAGATTCTGATTTGGGGGAGAGGGTCTAACTTGGCAACCTATCATGTGGTAAAAAGATAGCTTGCTTTCCTTCTTGTCCCAAACTTCCATTCTTGGCACTATGCCAGCATACTCTAAACAGATACTGCAGAACCATTTAGAAGGCCAGGATGGGGGGGGGGAATAAGCAAATTCTCAGAGGATAAGATATTTACTGCCCCGAAGCACAGTCTAGAGATGGTCTCTTGGTGAGAAGCAAAGGTAGTTTGAAGGAACAATGGTCCAAGCCCTTGTTCCTTGCAATACAAGGGGAGAAGAAGCCAAGGGACCCTCATACAGCAGTCTCCCCTTTGCTTCCTGTGCTGAGTCTGTGGTAAAAGCGCCTCCAAGACTGGAGAGTTTTGCCAGTCCAAATCCAGAAGCCAGTCGTGATGCCCACAATCATGGTCATAAGATACTTGATCAAAAAGACAGTGAAGTCCGGGCTCATTGGGGCAAAGTTGGTGGGGCAAGCAATGGCATAGCTTTTGCAGCTCTGCAGGAGCCAGGTTTTCTCCCATGTGTCCCGGAAGGCCTGCTCATAGAAGTAGCAAGCCAACACAATGGTGGCAGGCACTGTGTAGAGGACACTAAAAATGCCAATCCTCACCATGAGCTTCTCCAGCTTTTCGGTTTTGGTGCCATCATGTTTCATGATGGTCCGTATACGGAAGAGGGACACAAAGCCAGCCAGGAGGAAGGAGGTGCCAATGAAGAGGTAGACAAAGAGTGGGGCCAAGACAAAGCCCCGCAGTGCGTCTACACTGTAGATGCCCACGTAACAGACTCCACTGAGCACGTCCCCGTCCACCTGTCCCATGGCTAAGATGGTGATGGTCTTGATGGCAGGCACGGCCCAGGCAGCCAGATGAAAGTACTGGGAATTGGCCTCAATGGCCTCGTGGCCCCACTTCATGCCAGCAGCAAGGAACCAGGTGAGGGAGAGGATCACCCACCAGATGGAACTGGCCATGCCAAAAAAGTAGAGGATCATGAAAAGGATGGTGCACCCTTCTTTCTTGGTGCCCTGCACCACAGTGCGGTAGCCGTCTTCTGAAAAACGTTCCACACAGACCACTTTGTCCTCCAGCAGGAAGCCAGCCACATAGGCCACTGCCACCATGAAATAGCAGCCAGAGAGGAAGATGATGGGTCGCTCAGGGTAGCTGAAGCGTCTCATGTCCACCAGGTAGGTCAGGACAGTGAAGAGGGTGGAGGCACAGCATAGGACTGACCAGATGCCTACCAGCAGACGGGCAAAGCGAACCTCCGCCTCCTTGAAGTACATCAGCCCATTGGGGAGTTCTGGTTCACAAGGGGCACCACAGTCTCTCTCACCCAAAAAGCGGTAGCCCAGGTACGGGGGCACTTTGAGCTGCCGTGGGCAGGAGAAGCCAGAGCCGGTGGGGCGCAGGGGGTGAGAGTGGGTATCGGGCAGATACGGGGTGGGATAGACGGTGGCACTTCCGGGGCCCCCTCCGCCCGCTCCCGAAGTGTCCGAAGTATTCTGCCCCACGCAGATCTCACCTGCGCCGTGGACGGGGAAGTTTTCGCAGCGGAGTCGCTCGGGCCACTGGAAGCCAAACTTGTTCATCAGGGCCTCGCAGCCTTGGCGCGCCCGCTCGCACAGGGATCGGCAGGGCGGGATGGCCTGTTCCAAGACGGTGCAGACGGGCGCGTACATGGAGCACAGGAAGAAGCGCAGCTCCGGCGAGCACTGCACTTTCACCAGCGGGTAGAACTGATGGACTTCCAGCCCGGCGTCCTCTTGGTTGGTGTGGCCCAGGAGGTTGGGCAGAATGGTCTGGTTGTAGGCGATGTCCGTGCAGAGAGGGATCGAAATGGGCTGGCAGAAGCCGTGGTCCGGGACGGAAATCCCTTTCTCCCCGTGGTAAGGTTGGGCACCCGAGCCCCAGGGAATCCCGCCCAGGACGCCCAGGAAGACGGCCAGGCCCAAGGAAGCAGGGGCCCTCCTCGCCGCTCTCGGTCCTCGATCCATGATCCGAGGCGGCAGCAAGGAAAGCAAGGAGCGCGGCCGGCGGGAGCGAGCGGCGGAGGTGGGGGGGTCTTCACAGCCCAGAGGCGCCGGGGTCTCGAAGCATCGGCGGCGCCCAGCCCAGACCCCCGCGAGGGCTAGCGGCCAGAAGGCTTACGCGGCAGCTGCGGCGGCGGCGGCGGCCCAAGGCTGGCTTCGCTCTTCCAGCAGTCTGCTCTCGGGTGGAGGAGGTGAAAGAGGCGGATCGGATCGCTCGCCAAACCGGCTCTCTCGTTGATCGCTCGCCAAGGGCTGGATGATAATTCTTTGCTAGGGTTGCAAGCCGAAATGCTACTCCGATGTATTCTCTTCCACCGAAGAGAGGTCTCGACGGCGCCTCGCAGCGCGCTGTTTTTCCTTCGGTCGGCCACGAAGCAGTCTTGGGACGGAGGGGGGCAGGCGGGTGGGTGGGTGGGACGATCGTTCACCAATTCGACCGCCGTAACTGGCTCCACTTCCCAGCTGGCTGTTCCACCCCCTCAAAGTTCGGGAATTCAAGAATTTGGCTTACTGTTACTCCTCCTCCGTTTCAGCCGCGCGTTCATCGAGGAGTTAGGCGTGAGGGCTTTTTGTTCAAAAAAAATCCAAATCACTCCGTTGTCTTCCTTTACCAGCAAGGGTGCTAATCCTTTAAACAGAAACACGGGTAGTCCGATAGCCCGTTGGCGCCCTTATGCGTGGAAATGAAATCTATCCAGCAGCAACAGGAGAGACCAGCTGCCGTTGGAACAAGCAACATCCACCCCAAAAGCCAAAAAAATAACGAGGGGGGAAAAAAAGACGTCTCTGCACTTTGATTATATATATTCGCGTATGTCTGGTATTCCACGGAACTCCACCCCTTCGCCCCATTCACAAACCAAACAGTGGGCGGGCCATAGAACTCAAGAGTCTACCAATCGCACAATCTGTTGCTTCCGTACCTCTGTTGAGGATTGGACGGAAAGATAAAAGCTTCCAAAGGGGAGGGGAGGACCGAGGGCGGATTCTGTAATGGTGATTCTTCTTGCAGAAAAGTTGAAAGAAACTTTCAGACTCTTGAATGGAAGAGAGGGACGCGTACAGGCGGAGGGGGAGAACCGCGTTAATCTGTGGTAGGCAAAAATCAGAAGGAATCTGGGTTTAAAAAAAAAAAAAAAAAAGACGCCGAGAGAGTGAGAACGAGAGAAACCAGGACATATCTGGATCTGGATGCCTGGATAGCATATGGCTGTGCTCGAAATTAACTCTTTTGTTTCTATAAAGGAATTTTCCGCATATACAACTGCTACGCCCCTCCTGAAATAACCTTTTGAAAGCCCAAAATTCCCATTCATGGTGGCCTGAAAAAAATGTCTTTTTCTCAGTTCTTCTACCTCAACTACCGAAGAAGACTCCCCTCCATCATAAACACTTGAGAGACGGCTTTCAAAATAAAAGACGGCTTTGAAAAAAAAACAATAATAGGGGTTGTGGAAGATAAACCTGAAACCACTTAGGTTACAAAAGAAATAGACTTGAGGCTTATCTTTTAAAATGTTTTTGATACCAGACTCAGTCCAGTGCTTTAAATTCACAGTTGCTTACTTTTGAGAATATATCCTTTTTGAAATGGTGCAAAATTCATAAGGTTGACAGTGCTGTACATGTTTCATCGTGAAAAACATCCTCCCCAGATATGCCTAGGAGAATTTGGTTAAGTACCTTCCATACAGCAGGAAATATTTAAATCCAAATTCACAAACCAAACTGGTTTGTGGCTTGGTTTCAATTTCTTTAGTAGGACACAAAAAATTAAGGAAATGGTTTGAGGAATGCAGCTTGAATTAGAAAGATCTATTAAAATTCATTTCTGCTGAAAATTTTCCTTTGCTTATAGTAAAGAATATTGAACATTTTTGCTTGTCATAATTTAAACCTGCTGGGGATCTGGAGGTGGAAATTACTTGAAAGATAGACTTGATTAAGAACTAGCTCCATGGATCTTGGTAAAATATGCAGTGTAAATGTGAGCAAATTGCCTCATAAACATATCCCAGGGATTAATCTCCCAGCGCAAGGATTTAGGTTTGCAGCTTTAGCTTCCCAATCCTATGCACATTTTAGAATAGAATAGAATAACAGAATTGGAAGGGACCTTGGAGGTCATCTAGTCCAACCCCCTGCTCAGGCAGGAAACCCTATACCAGTGGTGGCGAACCTATGGCACGCGTGCCAGAGGTGGCACTCAGAGCCCTCTCTGTTGGCACACGTGCGACTGCAGGCAGCAGCAGGTCCATCAGGCCACCACCGCTGTCCAGAGCAGGAGCCCCGCCCAGCACAAAAGGAGGCAAAGCAGCTGACTAGCAAGCTCGAGTAGAGGTGGTAGAGCAGAGGTCACCAACCATTGTCGATTGGTGGACTGGAAGAAAAGGGAGGGGAAAGCATTTTACATGCGTGCGTGCGCACACGGGGCAGCGAGCACGCACGTGCTGCAAATGGGGTGGGGCTAGTGCCTGTGTGATACTAGCCCTGCCCCATTCCTGCATGGTGCAGCGCCTTGTATCTGCACCCTGTGGTGTGGCAGCGGCCATTTTTGCACCTTGCAGCATGGTGGCCCATTTTTGCACCCCCCCCCCGGTTTTTGCGTGCCAGAGGCAGCACTCAGAGGTGCCTCCCTGCCCCCCCCGAGGGCACCACAATGCTGATGCGGCCCTGGCACTTTGCGATAAATAAGTGGGTTTTGGGTTGCAGTTTGGGCACTCGGTCTCTAAAAGGTTCGCCATCACTGCCCTATACCATTTCAGACAAATGGTTGTCCAGTCTCTTCTTAAGAATCTCCAGTGTTGGAGCACCCATAACTTCTGGAGGCAAGTCATTCTAGTGATTAATTGTTCTAACTGTCAGGAAATTTCTTCTTAGTTCTAGGTTGCTTCTTTCCATCCATTGCTTCTTGTCCTGACTTCAGGTGCTTTGGAGAATAGGTTGACCTCCTGCCTTCAGTAGGAAGTCCGTCTAAGTTCGGAGATGTGCCATTAATCTCAGGAATTCTGACATAACCCCCAATAACCAATATACAATGAACTAGCATGGCAGAATTCCAGTCACTCTAACCATATTTTTCCTTGTTTCTTACTATCTGGGAAGAAAAAGTGTACAGTATTCATTTCTTAAGGGGGAACACCCACATCCCCCTTTATAAAAGATACAGAGAACAAAATCTCTTAAGTGAAGAAGATGAAGTCACTTGAGTCAGTTTTACAGACATAGGCACAGGGTTTGTTTTGGGTTTGTGATAAAGGTACAGGGCTAACCTTATTTCTTAGGGCAAAACCATTCTATATTCCATAGAACATGTCAGCAGGCAGTGTAATACCAGGCAAGTCTGTTCACTCTGATCATCTTGGTTCTCTTGCAGCATACTCCAGGCTATTTTGTTAAACATGCTCTGCTTCTAGAATATGGAAATAGGGAAGGGAGGACTATTTATTGCAGCAGCTCTGGGACTGGAAAGAGCCTCAGGTTGCATTTCTACATTAAGTCCTGTTATGAGAATTAAAATGTCCATAGGAAGCTTTCAGGAAGAACTTGCTTGAGAATAAGAAAGACAGAGCATTTTCTGCTGAAGCCTCCAGATTTGGAATTCCCTTGCTTGGAAAGCACAGGAAGCTCCGAGTCTTGGAACTCTTTAACAGTTTTATCTAGAGAGATTTTTTATTTTCAGTGTTTTAATTTGAAAGCATTGGCAGAATAAAAACAAATCAGAGGGGTACACTGCTAAGGACACAAATTTCAATAATGATGAGAACAATGATAGGGATGGTGATTATGGTTGCTGTTTAGACAAATATTCCTGGCTGGATTTGGTACTTTTGACTATGAAGCCTTCCCAAGGACCAAGGATAGTTATATTGTCACAATATACTTTGTTGCAAGGAATGCATTATTATTATTTTTTTGATAAATTGAGATTGTGCCCATTCCTGTTGTATGCAAGTACCTTTCTAGATCATTTGGAATGACATCAAGGGCACCAGCCACTATTGACACCACAATTACTTTCTTTTTTCCACTCTAAAGAATATTATATTTCCTTATTTCTTCTTCTGATTTCTTATTGACTGTTCTGCCTTCAGCTGCTGCAGTGTGAATTGTCCTTTTATATTGTTTCTTTTTAATTAGTCATATCTAGCTTACGATGGGCTAAATAGTTATCGGTTTGAATTTGGAGGCTCCATAGAATCTTTTTGTTCTCAACTACTTTTTCATTTTTGTGATTCTGACATTTTCTTGTTGCTAGTAACTGGTGCTTTTTAAAAGATTCCAATGAATCAAATAGCCACTTTATTATGTCTTTCAAAAATTCTGTTTGCACAATCTTCTTACAATCACATACAAGGTATTCAGCAATCTCCTGTTATTTGCATAAAAGTCTCATTTTATTGTCCTCATTAGACTCCTCCTCCTCCTCCTTCACATTTAATAGCATCTATGAAACAAATTCTCATCTAAAAGTAATAGAGTTATACAAATAATTGCAGCCTTACACCTACACAATTCTATTTTTCGCATATAATCAGGTGTCACGTTGCAATATATTTTTAATGGCAGGATTTTACTTGCTTTTAGTTTGACTTTGGAGAGAAAGCAGTGTTGTCTTTTATTTGTAATTGCAAAATGGTGAAGCTAAAGGTTTGTGGTTAAAAATATTTTTGTAACCACATATAGCTTAGTCATATGAAACTATTTTAGAAGGGTTACTTTAGTAACATATCAATAGTGGGGTCTTCAGTAGGAACCATTGTGTTTAACATTACAAAATCCAAGGTAGTATTTGTTTTAGCTTAAATAGGATTGAGAGTGTTTGTCATCCATATTCAATTGTCTGTACAGAATGCCTGTCTTTATCACAGATTTATATTTCTCCTAAAACATTTAAATACTTCTAATATTTAATTTTTGCTTTTAAAGGAAGTCTTGATCTCTTTTGTTTACTTGAAAGTTCAATAATTCCACAATCATATAAAGTTTTCATTTAGCTCAATAATTGTTAGAAAACATCTGGTTTGATTTGAATATTCTGCACAAGAATAGCCATGTTAATCTTTCGCAGCAAAACCAGCAGAACCTGAAAGACTAATTAAATTAATTGCAACATATGTTTTCGTTGATAAACTTCTAATGAAGTGGACTGTAATCCATGACAGTTTAGGTCATAAAAATAATTGGCAGTCTTTAGGGTGCCACAGAACTGTTGTTTTGGAACATTCTTATTTTAATTAGCTGCAATCCAACAAATGCTCATTAAATTTATATGCCATTTACACTGTATATTTATTTATCATATCTGTATCCCATTTTTCTCTAGAAATGCAAGGCAGTTTATATGGGAATTTTCCTTCAGTTTATTCCCACAGCAGTAACTGGGTGAAGTACATTGGGATGAGACATAATAGATGACCCAACGCATTTTCAAAACCAAAGGTGGATTTGAGTCTGATTTCCCAGGTGCAGTCCTTCATCAGATGATGGAATGTTCTCCCCCAGAAGATGTGTGTGGTCTCCAATCTCCCAGTATTTAAGGGGAAAAAATAATAAAGTTGCATCACTTTTGCCATTCTTTTAAATTAGAACTGATCTTAACGATACTGGTTTTAATTTTGGTATCCGTTAGGTTGCTTTGACTAACTTGTTTTAAGTACTGGATTTATTGTTTTTAAGTATCTTGAGTGTTTATATAAGTATCAAATTGGGGACTATAATAATAAAATAAAAAATGAAATGATATATTAGATTATTGTGTAATTTATTGTGTACTGCTTTTGTATACCACTTGGATTGCATAAAACACTTTAAATAAATAGAACCAGTTATACCCTACAACAACTCTGTAAAGTTATTGAAGTAAAAACCCCATGTGAATATGTGAAGCTGAGAAACAGAGTCTTGATCAAAGTTATCAGGTAAGACCATGGCTACAGTGAGATTTGAATTTAAAACTTCCTGCATTCAACCCATCTGTTGTGGAATTTGAAAAAAAAATACTTCAGATTTCGTATTTGTTGCATTTGTAAGATAATATGATAGTTTTTGTATAAAATAAACAACAAATCATTTCTAAATACAATGCATTTTACTCCAATTTCATTTTAAATTGTTTTTGTAGGATTTTATTAATAATTTGTGTTTGGAACGCTGTATGTTGATATGGCCTACGGGCTAATCAATAAACGAAACTGACTAACTAAATACAATGCACATTTAGAACAGTTAAGTTTACCATAATGATAAAAATATGATCAGGATGCTAGAACAGTTTCATTAGGGAAACAGAATGGTCTTCAGTTGTTTTTAATACTAGAATTTGTAAGAAATGCTAATCCTTGTTGCAATTAGGCATCAAGAAGACTCATTTAAATTCAGAACTGGAGAATTAAAACCTTGAAAGGAGGATTTACAGCTTTATTTTTTTAAGAGTCTAAAAGGTTTTTCCCCAAACTGGTATTTGCAATAACTGGCAGGGAGGATTGTAGTGTACTCTGGTAGGTAATCTGACACATTGGATGGGCATCAAATCTCTTACAATTCATTTCTTCGATTTGTTAATATTGGACTTCACTTTTGGTATCACCTTCTCCCATTTTGTTCCTTTTGCCTTTGACAGCCTGAACATCTATATCCTTTGTACCTTTCTACCATCTTTTTGGCTAGCTGTTTTTACTTTTTAGTTTTTCAGTAATTTGTTATTGCTATCTTCCACCCCATCCCAAATGCTGGAAATATTTCAAATGTGCTCCTGCACAGCTACATGCAGAAATGTGATTTTTTTTTCTCTCAACAGCATAGCTCTTCAGCTGCAGCAAGTTGCTCTTTTAATTTCACATTTAAAAGTTTGGTAGTAGAATGATATAAGAGCTAGTTTGATGTAGTAGCTAAGGCACTAGAAACCAGAAGACTGAGTTCTGCCTTAGGCATGAAGCCAGCTGAGTAACCTTGTGCCATTCCTTCTCTCTCAGCCCTAGGAAGAAGACAAGGGCAGAGCTCTTTTGAAAAACCTTGCCAAGAAAAAGCAGGGGCTAGTCCAGGCAGTCACCAAAAGTCAACAGTGATTTGAAAGTGCCAAAATAATAAAAAGAGTTTAGTGGGAGGTACATCGTGGAAGCAGCATGTGGGGGAATTAGTTCACTGCATCTAAAATTGCTTTTTTGGTTTTAAACTGGACCACTTACAGTTTCCTTGGATGCAACATTCTGACTTTACAAAGATCATTACATTAAATCCACTTTTACTGAAAAGAGAATAGTTGGGCAACTTAGTGTTATCTCCAAAGCCTGGTAGGCCATTCACGATGTTCCAAGAAATGCACTGCATAGGAATCCACCCTCAGAGGTGTTGCAATTCCAGAGGAGAAAATGACAGATGGATCTGGATCAGTTACAGTGCATTCAGAATAGAATAGAATAGAATAGAATAGAATAGAGCTGGAAGGGACCTTGGAGGTCTTCTAGTCCAGCCCCCTGCTCAAGCAGGAGAATCTATACCATTTCAGACAAGTAGCTGTCTAGTCTCTTCTTAAAAACTTCCAGTGATGGAGCGCCCACGATTTCTGAAGGCAAGATTCAGAAAGCATTCAGACCCCCTTCACTTTTGTCAATTTTGTTATGCTGCAGCCTGATTCTACAGCTGTTGAAATTTGTTTTTTTTCCTCATTAATCTACACATAATGACAATGTGAAAACAGAATTTTAGAAATGTAAATTTTTTAGAAAGAAAAAACTGAAATATCACACTGGCATAAATATTCAGACCCTTCACTCTTTCTTGAAGCACCTTTGGCAGCACATCTGGATTGGGGGATTTTCTGCCATTCTTCTTTGCAAATTCTCTCAAGCTCAGTCAGGTTGGATGATGACTGTCAGTGGATAGACATTTTCAGGCCCCTCCAGAAATGTTTAATAGGGTTCAAGTCAGGGCTCTGGCTGGGCCACAGAGTTATCCCTAAGCCGCTCCTGTGTTTCTTGGCTGTGTGCTTAGGATCGTTGCCATGTTGGAAAGTGAACCTTCAGCCCAGTTTGAGGTCCTGATCACTGTGGAACAGGTTTTCATTGAGGATATCCCTGTACTTTGCTCCAATCGGCTTTCCTCAACCCTGGCCAGTCTCCCAGTCCCTGCTGCTGAAAAACACCCTCACAGAATGATGCTGCCACCATCATGCTTCGCTATTGGGATGATATTGGGCAGGTGATGAGCGGTGCCTGGTTTCCTCCAGGCATAACGTTTAGAACTGCAGCCAAACAGTTCACACTTTGTTTCATCAGACCAGAGAATCTTGTTCCTCACAGTCTGAGAGTCCTTCAGATGCTTTTTTGCAAACTCCAAGCGGGCTTTCATGTGTTTTGCACTGAGGAGAGGCTTCTGTCTAGCTAGCCAATCTGCCATAAAGCCCAGATAGGTGGAAAGCTGCGTTTCCATAATTTCCTAACCAGTATGGCCTTGTAGATAAACTGACTTTTCTCTTAATTTTCTCAGGGAGGAAATTAGGTCAGAGTTGTAAAACAGAGGTGAAGAAACACTAGAATTGAATGAAAGATCTGAACCATTCCCTGGATCTTAGCTTGACTCACTTGTTGGGTTGTGAACACAAAACAGGAGGGGAAAATCATGTCTGCTGTGTTGAACAATATGAAAAGAAAGCTAAGATATACTTCTAAAAACGTTTTAATATTTTTTTTTAGCATTCCACAATCTTGACTGGTACTAAACATGTATTAGGCTTTGATCTTAAAAAGTGGAATACTGTTATCTCCTGCATGTAAACTTTAAAATTATAGGTTTCTGTATATGTAGTTCTTAATCCTATTTAAATCAAGTATCTTTCATTAGGGGAACAAAGTCATGATCCAACAGAAAGTCTGCAGACCCCTAGGTGATGATTTTAATTATCTTCCTCAGGATTTCGAGTCATGAGTGGTTTTTAAAATTACAAAGAGTTTATTTCCATGTTTCCCTTCCATACAAAGTCTTGCAGACAATTGATGCATTCAGTATTTATCAGTCTTTATTAGTGGTACTTAAGCTGGAAATCTTTCTCCCTCCCCAGATTTATCTGAAATTCCCTTGCAATTGGTTTACATTTAGCTAAACCTCGCTCTGATATCTTGACCAACATTTCACAGAGTCACGTCCTTCACGCAAGGTGACATAAAAAAAAGTCAAAGCAAACACTTGTGACTCTCTTGATGCCCCCTAGGTTGCTTGAAACATGTCGGCTTTTGGCTCCCGTATCAGGGCCCAAGAGCACATGGGCGAAATGTTTGAGATCACACCCTCATTGTCCTTTGAGGAAGGAGTAAACATTCTTCATTGTCTGAATGCTAAGGCAAATGGGTACAGGGCTACTTCATTGGCAGAAAGGAGATAAGCTTGCCTTGCTCCCTACAAAGAGCAGGCAGGATAAACAAAAGGAAAGCCACCCTGCTTTGAGGGATTCACTGTCACACAGGGAGAGAATTCAATGGAAACAGGCTCCATAAGCAACAGGACAATCAGAATCCATAAGAATGATCCCCCAGTTGTCAGGCAGACAGATGGTCTAAGTAACACCTCTTTTCTTTTCAGCATACTAGAAATACGACAATCAGGAATTTATTTATTAATCTATTAAAGGTACATGCTGCCCAGTTCACCATAGAAGCAACTCTGGGCAGCTTAGAAAATGACAAAAGGTCATCAATCAGCAGGAAGGATATGGCACAAGAATGATATTTCAGCTCAGCCCCAAACATTTTGCCATCAGATATTACATAATTCTCCCTTTTCCTTCTTACTTCTATTCCAACTTGCATGGCAACTCAGTCTTACTTCAATTTCTTCCACTGCGTATGCAAAATAATTTAGATGACAGTAGGGTATGCAGTGTAGGACCCTAATTATCAGCCAATATCTTTCTACCAAGCATCTTTTGCTTGTTAAGGTCACCTAAGTATTGTCTTCTGGTACAGTCAGCTCCAAGAATGTGCTTGTTTTTGAGCAAGAGGATTCCAATTAGGTCTCCTTAAAATGGGAAAGATCAACAATTAGCTCTATATAAAGGGATTTTGTGTTGCTCAGCACATACAACAAAATAACACAATCTTCATTAAACACAAACATCATTTCTACTGGAGTAGGTTTGGCAAAGATCCCTAGAAGTTTTTTTTCTTTCTTAAAAGTTGTAAATCACAAGTGCACAAGCCATTATCTATTCGTCATAGACATAGCCTAGAAAAGATGTGCAACCAAAAGGTTTGTTTGTTTTTTATTCATTATATTTATATGTCTGCCCATCTCATAAAAAGAGACTCTGGGCACTGTATAATAAAAAACTATAAAGCAGTAATATACCCGTGTTTCCCCAAAATAAGACCTACCCCAAAAATAAGCCTGAGCTTGATTTTTGGGGGTGGGCCTAATATAAGTCCTACCCTGAAAATAAGCCCGGGGTGGGTGGGTGGGTGGGCGTGGCCAGGACAAGCGGTGGCGAGCGCGCGGGGACTGATGGTGTCCAGCAGCAGCTGCAGCCCACCGGCCCCTTGAAGCAGTGCAGGTAAGCCCAGCGTGGGGGGGGGAGGCAGGCGATCCAGACGCGCCACACACTTTTTGCCCAGAGGGAGACTGCTTGCAGATGGGGTGCTTAGGAACTGAGAGATTCACTCTGTCTCCAAGTAC